ATAATTTTAAAATACTTTATTTCTTCCGCAATGAAGATCCTGCTTTGAAACAGTGATTTAAAGTGTCGTACGCTCGCTAAATTGGTGATCTTTTTAAGGCCAAGCGATTCCCGAATGCTGGTGGCTATGGGCGAGAGTTACGAAAAGCTGGAAAAGTTAGTGGAAGCAAAAAAGGTATGATTTCTTCAGCATTCACAATTTTTTCTAAAATGGTGAATCTTCCAAAGTAATGCAGTGCTTTCGATTTAAAGCTTTCGTGACTGCAAGGATTCATCTTCTTTGGTTCTTTCGGTAAAGCCACGTAGAATGAGAATAAAATAAAACAATAAAATTCTCACGACGTTTCGGCCACAACACAAGTGGCCGAAACGTCGTGAAAATTTTATTGTTTTATTTTATCATTTTATTCTCATTCTACGTGACTTTACTGAAAGAACCAAAGAAGATAATGCAGCGCTTTAAATAATCTCCAATGTAAATCGTGCAGCACTGAACTCGTGGGTGTTGTTTGTCTGTGACAGTGCTACTGGAGAGCATTCTCGGTTGGAGATGTGGAAAAAGTAGCCCTCATGAAGCTTGCAAAGTGAGTGACCAATAGCATCACTTCAGCAATTGCTTTGTATGTCTCTTGGTATTTGTCAGATATGGGAATTGTTATTTATTGTTTTGTGGGAAGTGCCTAGGACCTGGCAAAATGAAAAAAAAACAGTCAACTCAAACAAAAGGGACTTGGGCTAATGTGAAATGCAGATTGTGCAAGAGGTAAAAATGTTGACGAAATTAAAAGGTAACATGCCAACAGTATTTGGTGGCTATCACTATAATAACAATCACAGGCAATTGCATATACAACTCCTACAGGTTGTAAAACAAGCGGCACTTACTCATTGCAGCGTAATGCTTCTCGGACAATCGCTCAATTAACGTTTATTTTTTTTATGCATTAGGCTTCACGAGCGTCTGGGTGAGAGTGACCAAGCTGCCCACTGCTACTACAAGTATATACAGGACATGTGTGAAGGGGTGAGTCGACTTGCATTGTACATTGTTCATGTCTGTACCAACACATTCCTCCAACTGGACATCTGTTAAAAAGAGCTTTATAGCTCATTGGATTCCTCCAGTATGAATAAAGATTCTGATTCTAACATCAAACAACACAACTCTTGAAGAGCAATATGTCCGCTTATATTAGCACTGTACCCCAATGTGCTAAATACATCCCAAATCATATTTTGTTGAACATTCCACAAATAGGCATGGGCATTCATTCTTAGTCAGCTGTGAGATGAAAAGCTGACATTGAATTCGCCATCATGGGTTGTGTAGTTCGTTCGTCTGCTTTACTCCTTTTTAGCACTCAAATTCACATGGCTGTGTTTTAAAATGGCAACATTCTGTTAAGAAATGTCAAGAATGTGTTCTCCATAGAAGGCGTACTTTTCATAAGCATGCAAAGGATACGAGTTGAAAGTGAGGAAGATATTCTATTTTCTGTTAAACTCAGAATAGTGACATGACAGCATAACATTTCAACACATCCATATTTTTGGCGTGTTTTAAATTAAGCAGAATCTAAAAGCAACCGTTCGTAGGCCTGTAAATGCCTTTTTATATAACTGCCTTGATTTAATACAAGTCTAGAATGAAGAATAAGATCATATAGAGCTTGCAAGGTTCACCTTGAATTCTAAATATTTTTGGGACCTGTAATTTTGATGCGTTTGTTTTTCGGGCAGGAGATCCTAGAGCACGAGGAGCTGAGTGTAGCGTTCCGCAACCTCGCACACTACTACTTCAAGTGCAAACGCTGGGAGGATGCTTCCGTGTGTGCCCGGAGATGCTGCAGCTACAACGATGTGAGAAATGCACGCGCTCTATGCGATGTACTGTATATAGGACTGAGTGCTGTTGCAGTACTGAAAATTCAACCTCGGTTTTTACGAGATGTTGCACGATTGATTTATAACTCGGACTTACCTTTGGCTGTCGGGGAGTACCTGATGGCGAATTTTAAGGATATTGTCACAGTTTATCAGAAATGATTGTTGCACACTTAACGATTGTGTTATAGCCGTAATTTTTTGAGCCTGCTAGGTTACTATAATTGCTCATCGGAAAATGCATTGCTGCTGAAATTTTTTGCAGTGATTGGCATACAATTCCCCGAATACATCATGGCTTTAAATAATAAATTGTCCTACATTAATGCATTCAAATATACCATGGGATGGATACATTGATTAAGCTGTGGGCTCCAACATTCTTAATAATGAATTGATGACTATAAGATGTGTAAAGAGATATGAGTAGCTCTTAATATACATCTGGATTATGCCGATTTGTTGGTGTATCTTTACGTGTAATAAGTGGTAGCATCGTGGATTTTGCTGTGCTCTAAGAACTCGGCAACTTGCTTTTGTTTCCTACCCGTGGATATTATCAATGCACGTGGATTCTGATCTTGGCCTGGGCCTACGCTGGTTTAATTTATTTGACTTGGCCTCAAATGAGTATCAAGTGCATTGTGTGTAATATTAGCACTTGAGATACAGGGTTGGTGAGTGCTCTGCAGGCTTGGCTTTAATAGAATCATTTTAACGGCACTTTGGCAACAATGTGTATAAGGCTAAACAGAGGATGTTTGTCTTGTGTGGTGAGCAGACACGGGAAGAAGGGAAGGCTCTACTGCGACAGATCTCCCAGCTGCGTGCTGAGGGGGAGGCGAGCAATGTGGATATGTCCCTGGACCTCTCTGGAAGTACCTCCATGCCAAAGCTGTCTCCACTAAACCTCTCCTCAACGTGAAAATGCCTTAAATTCCCAGGAATATGTACACTAATTGTGTGTGTGTGTAATATAGAATAGCTTACACATATGATATAGTTGGTCACGTGGATAAATGTGTCAAGGCATGTACTTGTAATAGAAACAACACAGTTGTGCAAATAGGATGGATTTGAAAGGACCGTATCGAATATGTTACCAAAATGGCAATCAAAAGTGAGTACCATGAGTACCGATTTAAATCTTGGTTATGATTGTGTATATATGTTTCATATTTGCGTTAATGGAGTGTTCCATTTTAAAGATTAGCCTCGTGTCAAATGTATCTGCACTGCCCTGAATGAACATGTTCAAGTGCAGCTGTTCAAGGACGATGCAGCCCAGCAAATAAATGTCTGATATGTACCCAGGCTGTGTGTCTTGGGCTGTCCAACACAATTTTCAATCTTTGTAAATGAGAAAATACTTGTACCTCAATTATTCCACTGTTAAAACGAGCTGTGCTGGGCCATTCAGATTCAGCCGGCCGGGCGCAGTTTGGGAAATACCAGGTTTTTACACTGCGGAAGCCAAGCCCATGGAGCTGACATCGCACGCATTGAATGAGTCGAGATGCATGGAGAGGAGTGTACCGAATGCACAAGCAATGAACACGTCATTAGCCCGGCCCCTGGCCCTGCTTGACCCCAAACCAGACGAGGCCAGTGTCACGGATTGGTTCTGGCTTGGCACAGGGTAAAACCTCCTCTCCCGTGAGGGCCCAAGTGTAAGTAGAACGTGGGTATTTGAAATACGTGCATCATAGTTCCAGATATGATGGCTTTTAAAAAATTTTATCCAGCAATCACTGGGATGCTATGATGGTGTCTGGTCAAACACTCGACTGTACCTTGGTCACAGCCTAGGTATTTCTAAAGGGATATTTTTAGGTGTATATATTAAATTCTTGATTAAAAGCTTTCGTGACTGCAGTGATTCATTCTTGGTTCTTTCGGTAAAGTCACGTTGAAGGGAAACAATAAAATAATAACTATATTACAATAAAATTCTCACGTTTCGACTGTAACACAGTCATCAGGTGTGAGAATTTTATTGTTTTATATATATTTTATTGTTTCCCTTCAACGTGACTTTACCGAAAGAACCAAGAATATATTACATTCTGATAAATATTTTTTTCAGTGTGTCTTTAATTTTAAGTCGCTTATCTTTAAGCGATGGAGCTATGAATGCTTGAATTGTAAAATAATTGATTATAGAAGTGTTCTGAATATCGTGTATGCCTTGCTGATGAATTAGTTTTGGTTCAATTCTACTTTGTTGACCTTCCAAGAATGTGCACATAATCCCTTACGCAGCAGTTGATGTCCTGCATTTGGAATTACTATAAGTGTTATATGCCGTGAAGCATTTTGTAATCTTAACACCCAACATGTGTGGTAATACAATATACATAATTAAGTGAAAGTTTGGTCTTTGATGTGCAGGCAGATATTTTTACATTGTCACATCGCATGTTATCTTGTACAAAAAATGGATTTGCCCCTGGAACTGCAACAATTGTGCTTAAAAATTGATGGCAGTAATTAAGCATTTTACATAGCTCTAGAAAAAACTAGATTTCAGTAATTTAAACGAAGGCTTGTGGAAGTAATTAATATTCCCTAACACCCAATTACAGTATTTTGCAGTGCAAATACTGTTATATTGAATATATAAAGTTTTAGAATGTTGATTGGTCACAGCCAGGACTGTAAAAGTAGCGTGCAAAATGAATTGTTTATAGTTTAACAAGGGTATTATATCTTCCGAAGCTTGTTCTTCGCTATACCGCGTGCTGTTCGGCAATATTGCGTGGAGCGAAATGTCGGACCAAACGCAGTACGACTCGAAAACCCGCGACATATTTTCGCACAATCATGAAAAACGCGCGATTTGCACTACCAACAATACGTAAAATGTAATACTGGAATATATTCCAGGCATCATGTCAAAAGATAGGTTGCATTTCAATGTGGACGCGTGTATATGGGCTTAAATTAAAACAATTTGCTTTCACCACCATTGGAGCATTTGTACATTTTAACGGTCCGTTTTTTTTTTAACGGGGAAACCTACACAGTCGATTTGCAAAAAAACATTTCGCGACGAAACTTTTGTTTCTATACCTGCTTTTTTTTGGGGGGGGGGGGTTACAGTTGGGGGGGGGGGGGGGGTGGGGGAAATAAACCCCCTCGCCGCGATGTGCCACGTATGTTGTTTGAGCGTCATCGCCACCATCATCGCCATCCACCCAATGCGCGATTCATCCCGGGCACAACACGTGCGCGTCGCTGGGGCAACCCGCGACTCTACCACTCGCACCGCTGGGGGGAGGTGTGCGGCGGTGGTCGTTGTGACCAACGCCCCTCCCGAATCGCTTTAAAATCGTTAACGATTTTAGCCAAACAGACGGCCGTTTTGTTTCGAATGCTTTACATTTTGCTTACACAAGTTAAATTAATTTGCATTCCGAACGCGGTGTTTGCGTGAATTTTTTTTCTCGTCACATCGTCTTCCACCACCTCCCCCTCGTGATGGACTCGCCCGCTCCACGGTGACGCGCGTCAATGGCGGCGTGCCTTTAAAAGGCGAGGTAAATAACGAGCGGCGGCGTGAGGCGTGAGGAGGCGGCGTGGCGATGTCTCTGCAAACGTCTGCGGTGCGGCGAAGCGCTAAAGGCGACGCGGCTGCTCGGTCGACCACGTAAGTTGGCGTCGATGTGTGCACCGCAGCGCGTTTGAAGAAGGTTATGATGTGGTGGTGGTGGTTTTAAGCGGCACCGTTAATTTAAAACTCGCGAGCCGCTTGAGCTCACCCCCCCTCCGCTGTGTTTGCGATGTCCTATTGAGACATCATTGACACAGGTGTGTGTGTATTTTATATCACAGTAATGTATATGAATGACGGGATTTGCAGCGTTGCCTATGACTACAAGTTTGATGTATTGATTTGGATCCGTGTATCGAGCGGTTTTAATTCGTTTATAGGGCTTCTACAGAGCGGTTTGTATGTTGTAACAACAACAAAAAACACCGTGGCGTTCATATGGGAGATGTATAAACTGGTCAACGATATATATTCTTGGTTCTTTCGGTAAAATCACGTAAAAGTGAAACGATAAAATAAAAAAAATATAAACAATAAAATTCTCACGACGTTTCGACTGCAACGCAAGCAATCATCATCAGGTGTGAAAACCACAGCAAGAAAATTTGAAAAAAGTGGCGGTTATTTTTAACGTTGGCACCACGGAGAGAGATTTGACAGTTTGTTCAGATGGACGAGTCCATCTATGTTCGGAAAAGAGGAGGGGGGGGGGAGACGAAAAATAATGGATGCGGTCTGAAAGCCACCTTTGGCGTGAACAATCAATTAAGACCCGAAATGGTTAACGCTATGTCGTGTTTGGTGCTCTGTTGATCAAGAGTCAACGCTTCACCCACACATCACGGGTACGGTGGTGATGCCGCGTGACGTTATATCACCTGTCAGCCGTCACCGGGCATGCTTCCGAGCTTGTGTCACAGAAGCCAAGCAAGGGGCTGGCTTCTGGCGAGAGATTGTTTTGGGTGGCCACCATTCACGCCGGGTTGCTAAGATGCTTGCTGCAGTGGGCTGCGCAGAACATAAAATATTATACTGTGTTCTTCTATGCTCCCCGCTTGTATTATCCCCCGCAGTGAGCATCATGGAGAAGTGTGGTCAAATAGCGCCCACCACGTGGGTCGTGGGAATTGTCAATTCAGCAGTGGATTGAAAAGTTTCGATCATTAATACATACAGTAGTAGGTAATGTGTAATATAATGCATAGCTGTCAACCCATACGTTTTACCCCGTATTCTTGTGTATTGACATTGCGGGCACCACGTACATGTGGGTGCAGTACCACCGGCCCTAGAGGGGCTCGCTTAGCACTGACTGACAGCGCTGGAAGGCACCACGCTCTGCGTGCAGTGCCGACCCCTATAGGATAGGGTGTGAGGGTGTCGGCCATGGGAATGGGGTTACTAAGGGCCATGGCACTCTGGTTGACCCCGAAGGACACGTGACCGGTAAAGTCTCCACAGGGCCCCCAGGTCGGGGCTCGGGGTAGTCACGTGTCAGGGATCGAGATCCTGCTCGAGGATTCTAGAAGGTGGGCGTGGCTAAGGGCGGAACCAGCCCCGCCACGGAGGATATAAGCCGGGTCCCCCAGAGGGACCGGCGCTGTTGTTCATCCTGAAGAAATCTACGTTCTACAAAGTCACCAACACGTGGACCTGGACCCAAGCTGGGGTCTGGTCCGTCGTAGCTACTTCCAGTGTAATTCGTGTAGTTAGCCTGGTGTCTTGTTAAGGGGTATTACCCCGTGTGTTTTAAATACATGTGTTGCCTCCAAGAAGTGCGTTTGCGACTCAGTTGAACTCTACATTTGTACAGGGAAATTTAATTTTCAGGTCCATACGGCGTACAGCCATTTCAATATGGGCAAAACATGTTTTTTTTATATTTGTGTTTCTCCCCTGTGATGGGACTTTGTAGGATGAACGTTGAGACTGAGAAGGGCACGGGGTGACCAATAAGGTCTGAATTGGTCTGTAATAAGGTAGGGCACTGATAAGGGGTTGACAGGCATGATAATTCAGTGTATATATTACATCGTATAGTATAGCGGGTTAACGTTTTGGGGAATGGCCCCTTATTTCATCTCCTGAGATGGCCTGCAGCACCACATGCACTTCCCGCAAGATATGGCAATGCCAACACCAGAAGCGATGGTCCTGTGCAGAATATTGGGAAGAGACTAGGTTGGATAGGAGACACGAAAAATAATTCCCTATAGTAATAGGTTTTACCCTTTTAACTGGCACAAAAACTGACACCTTTATTCAAGGCATCATGTTTGCAATAACCACAACACAAGCAGTCAAAATGCAAACAAAAGAGACAACTGATAATAATATGCACTGTCCTTGAATTTGATTGGTCCACACCCGAGACAGCTTTTCTTAGAGCCTAGTCCCCACTGGTGTTGGACCAGAAGATGCCAAAAGGCGTACAACTCAAAAACAGTGCACTATCAGAGTATTGAGGGCTCGGGGTGACCATTTACATTATGATACCTTTGCCAGTAACAAGATATAGTAATAGGTTTTACCCTTTTTTGTGCCAGTTAAAAGGGTAAAACCTATTACTATATCTTGTTACTGGCAAAGGAGGTCTCATAAAGAATCCCCTACTTTGACAAGAGGACCACACTGATCGCTCTGCCGAAGCACCACGGGAGTTGTCTCACATCGTGTTGTTGTTTACCGAAGCCGCTCACACACACACACGCAGCCATGCCACATGCCCTGCTGCGTGTGACGAGCGTTGACATGCCACATGCCCTGCTGCGTGTGACGAGCGTTGACATTTTACTGGCGCCGCCGCTGAGTGCAACAGAATGTTGCGGCTGTGTGTAAACGTGTGAGCAGTTACTCCACGTGGGGTTTTTTTTTATTTGTCTCTAGTACCGTATCCTGCTGTGTGACCAGTATATGCACGTTAAATACTGCGGTGCAAATGTGTGTGATTTGTTCTCGTGTACACGGCGTACAGTACAGTTGTATGACATTCATGGTTCTTTCGGTCAAGTCACGTAGAAAATAAAAGAAAATACAATTTTAAATTAAAATAATAAATAGAAAATAATTAAAGTAAAAAAACCCACGGCGTTTCAATCGCAACACAAGCAGTCTTCATCGGGCGAAAAAGTTACATGACGTGCATTTGTGGACATGTTAATTTGTGTGTATAATGTTTGTGACACTATCCCAATGTTGTATGTGCTGTAATGCACTCGAGCAAAACTGCTGTGGATTGTTACAAAACGTTAACTCTTGAGAGATGGCGAGGGCCTTCATCCAGCAGTGGATAGGTCATGGCTCGTGGTGGTGATTATGATGAGTATACAGTATTGTGGTGTAAATAAAAACTGCGATGCAAACGCAGGTTCACCGGTGTTGCATTTTACATACACTACAATACTATACTGTGACAGTACCAACGACTACAAGACATACATTGCGACCACTTAATGTACACTACATCACTGCAAATGATGCAGTACTCTACATGTTATATGTATGCACAAATAACCTCCACGACCCGGGGAGGCCCTCATCCAGCAGTGGATTGACAAACGTCCTGTGCTGTACGTGTAAATAACACCAAAACGCAACACATTTGTCAATAACACTGGCCTTGAACGACAAAAGTATATAACCGACGACGTTTTGGCCAATGGCCTTTCTCGATAGCATCCAAATCCATGCAGTAATCACGTTCCATTTAAATTTCAATGACGCGGTGCCACTTGGAAGTCTTTTTTTGCCCGATGTTATCAGCCACGCTGGCTTCGCTCGTTACGCACCCTAGAGGTCATGAGAATCCGTAATTAGCTCTCTCGAGTACCGTTGTTGCTGTGCCCCGTGAATGAGTCACCTCCGCTGTGTTGGAAGATTCATTCACAAAGCCACCGCTGGATTTGTGTTTTTAATCTCCACGCCTGACTTCATTTTTTCCCTCCGAAGGGATATTGGTCACAATTCGTTGAGACGGTCTTTCCTTTTTGTTCCCTGCCCCCCCCCCCCAGCCAGAAACTATAACAATAAAAGGAAATGACATTATTAAAAAAATGCGGATATTGTTATCAGGTCGCACGTTCGTTGGTCGTTAATAATGTACTTTAACGGTTAATTTTTTAGGGATATTTAATCACCTGAATAAGCATAATCCAAGCATGGTTTATTATTAGTGGACTGGCCAATTACTGTAATTACAAGTGCTGCACAGGATGTATCCTCATCCCTGTATTGTCTAAGTAGTGTAGTATATTTAAAATCTGTTTTTAATGGTGCCATGCAGTAAACTGATTACACAATTACTATGTTACACCATTGCTGTAAATGGTCTTACTGCAACACAGTCTTGGAGCGTATTGTATATTTATTTGTAGTTCAATAGTGGATTACCAGGATATCCGCTACAGAATTATGCTTTGCTAGTTTTGCAGAGGCCATGACTTTGTATCTGATGCAAAGAGCATCTAATGTAAAAGAGGGTCCATTATATGTATCCGTCTAATACAGTAATGAATGCAATCAAAAGGGCTGAGATTAATGTATTCATGGGTGCTTTCACACTCTGTCTCCCCAGCAGAATAACTGTTAATCGCTCACAGAGGTGGCTTACATTCGACTTTTTTGTTTAATGATTAAGGGGCCCAGATTGCCATGTGGGCTTGCCTGATTTTCTGATGGTCTTTGTCTCGTCACAATAATACAAGTCATTCATCTGTTAGTTGGCCTTGGGAAGGAAATGCAGGTCTGTACGTATACATACACACTCCTCCTGATATCGAGGGGAAATGGGTGAGGTTTCGGACTGTGGCTCATGCAGCTGCAATGGCTGCTTTGGGTACACGGACCAGACCTCCCCAGAGACCCTGGCTGACGAGGAGGTATTCAAGCTGGCTGAGAAAAAGCGACAGGCCCACTCTCATGGCTACAGCATCCCACGTCGGAGAATGAGGAGGCTTACCACAGCCTTCGCTCGGAGGTTCGGAGAGCCGTGAGGCGCTGCAAGGATGGGTGGTGGTCGCGGGTTGCGGAGGAGATGGAGTCTGCCTCAATGGCCCACAATCACAAATCGCTCTTAAATTACATAAAAAAGTAACCTG